AGTTTATACTAGTAGTACACAATGCTTGGCAACATGAACGGCTATGTACAATGGCGTATACGAATGCGATCAGATACTAAAACGTCATAGCTTTGAAAAGTACCCGGATGTTAAATATGTTCGTTCGTTATTTATTCCCCTCCATGAATGGCCTCCATGGTGTTTAATTGCAAGCACTTCAAATGCCTATCCAAGCTACAGTTATAATTAAAATAAAATTAAACCACTGCAATATTATTTTGAATACAGTTTAGAATATACACAACTATAAATTAAGACCGCATTTAGGTTCGCTTTAAGTAATTTTTGCCTAGGTATGTACTATGGCGAAATTGTTGCCTGTTTTTTTATTTTACAACATTGTTGTGACTAGTATACAAAGATACATGTAGTTGTAAATTATCCGTACCAATCCTATTTGCGGTCGTTTCAGTCATCTAGAGAAAGTTATTGGAACATTAATGAGGACATTCCCAAGTACTAGTAAGTTGCCAGTTATCAGACGATAACTGGGCTGCATGGGGTACCGATCTACAAATGAGAATGCGTTCTTCAACAGCAAACTTACCTTCCACTGCTAATGCTGCAAGTCGTCGTTCACCATACCATATAGTTCCTGTGGGAGTTAAAATCAAGTAATTATTTTTTGTTCATGGTATGCTGGACATTGCCTTTAATTGATCAACACTGAACATCAAAGTCCCACTTTCAACCTTTAGATTAATTTATACAAAAATGATGATACATAAAACAAACAAGTGATGACCAATATAGCAGTAGCATTCACGCAAAGCTTCTTAGCACATTTGTATATATTCAAACAAGTTTGGGCGTTCCTTAGCTTGTGCTAACCACTGTTTCCTCCCATGTGTGAACGCATATAGATCTATCCGATATGCAAACATATGAGAGTAGCTTAAATCTTAGCCTGTAAATCGTGTAGCAAAACACGACTGGTGTCGTAAGAGGCCAGCCCAGGTTATTGCCCAGATTTAATATAGAGCAAATAAAATGTTGGGATTTAGTTTCAGTGACAAACATGAAATGAATCCAGACTACATCAATAAATTATTCTTAGTTATCTGTTTCATACAGGCATGCTTTTTGTGTTTACCTATACACTGTCCTAAAGGGGGATGGTCATCGCGCAAAGTCCTGTTCGATATGGGACTCGTAGCCACGTACATGCAAGTAAAATACATTATCGGTTTACATGAAATTCGAACAGGCACTGTGCGACGACCAGCACCTTTTAACACTTTAACAGCCACCAAGGTAGCACCCTGAATTTAAATAGCCACACCATAATAATAATGCCCAAGGCGCTTCTTGAAGGTCTTTAAGACATTTGAAAGACAATCATTCAGACAATAAGGCCAAATGTTTCAATACACATATACTGGCAACAACAAAATCAACCCAACCTCCTTTCCAGGTTTAATGAGCTCTGCAAGAAATCAGTGATGTGTTTAAGATCTTTCAAATTTAAATGATATTGCTTAAAAAAAATCCAAATCTATTGTGCGTCCACTTTGAAACTCAACTAACATAACAGTACACTTGAAACATGTTAAAGCCCTTGAAATCTTTGTATAATGGCAACCTAATCAACCAATATTGATTTCTTTCTTTTCAGATAGACAAATGTACCACAGCTCTATGGAAAACACTGGTTGAATAATCGTATTACTTAAAACGAGTTGGGTTAATAAGGGTCAAGAAAGGCATACTCACAGTGCTATGAGGTCTATTATAGTAAAGAACTCAAGTGTGTCAAGCAGTGGAGATTCAATTACTTGTAGAAAAGTTTCAGTATATAGATGAGATAAATCACATTTGAGGAGAAATGTTTACAAATGTGTTTCTTATATAGGGAGTAATGACATTTTCTCCATGAATATTTTATGAGGCTCCCTACTTTTTACAGCCTTAGTACTATAGTCTGTCTGGTAGTGTAGCATACAGTAAAATCCGTCATGTTTACAGCAACAGGTATTTTACATTATTAGCACTATTATATACAAGATGGAACAAATTTGGAAGAGAACAGTATATTTGCTTTCTTTAACATACTGTAAAACCATTTATTTTCATTTAATTTAATTTCACGATTTTGATATTTTGAACATATTAACTTTACACAAAAGGTGTGTCAATTTAACATTGTATTTAATTTAAGACCTAGGAAAAAATATGTTTTAAAAATATGGGCGAGTTTTTGTTTTCAGGTTTTTTGTCAGAATTTAAGAAAAAATTAAATTTTATTCTTTTTCTTTGCCTAAAGTGCCACAGTTGGTATGCTGCATCGTGTTATGTCTCCCACGTGACATATACAATGCATGTGAAATGTACGGTTTATTTATTATACACAAAATTCAAACTCACATTGCACAAAACTGTGTGGCGTTTTAATGCACCGCAATAATATAAAAATTCTTATATTCTATGATCATTTTGAATCAAACTAGCATGGGTTGGTACTAATTAGAAGTTTTGCTTAAAACATTTCAATGAACCTTTGCACCACTAGAATTTTTTCCAGCAGTAATATGAAAATATATTATATATCAAGATATTATATAACACCTACCCCCACCCTTTAAGACCTCCAACCTCACTCCCATTTGCTTTATTAGAAGCACATCTCAGATTAAGAGACTGCATAATATCGAAAAATGTTTTAATATGCTTTAATAAGAATTTAAAGAAATCAAACTCACATCGTCATAGGCTACTGCTAAATTTTTGAAACAGGGAAGTTGCTTTCATTTGCCCAAGAACTATAATCAATGGGACATTCAGTTACCCAGTACAGACAGGACAGAGAATTTTATTTTTATTTTCTAACCATATACTGTATTAGCTACCGTTTAGTGAAATAGCAGAGCTTTGCCAATTGTTAAACATAATTCATACTACACATCGCTGCCATCTATGGAGGCTATCAGATGATGGTGTGTTAATATTCCAGCATGAAATAAGTGTAATTTTCAGTTTATGTGCACTTTAATTAGAGATGGCTTCTTATAGAGCAAATACAATATTTGTCATTGTTGTGTAAGGTCACTGGAAATCAGCTGTTGATGGTAAAACAAAAATTGTTTACCATGGAGAAGAGACAGGCAATGTGCGGTAGCAGGATCATCAGCATGTAAGACATTGTATACCTCCGCTGTTTTACTTCGACAGATGCTCAGAAACTCAGATAAAGCATATTTTTTCTTGATCAACGTTACATTAGAATCTTCCAGTATTTCCACTAGACATCCAATGCAAATTGATGTGTTGTCTTTACTAAGAAACCATTTCTTGTCATGTCTAGAATGCTGTGCAGTGAAATTTGCTGACTCTGACATAGTAAACAAACGTTTCTCAACTACTGAAAGAATCAAAAAATATGTATAAAGAATAAGAATTAGTTTTGTCAACATCAAATATTATAAAATAAAGAGTCTAAACATTTGAGTCCTAATTATTATATAAGTGTACAATTGTTGGCAATTTCCTCTGTAATGTGGTTACCTACACAGTCAATAATGTAATCCCCCCCCCCATACCAGGTCTCAATATGATGCCAAGGGAACATGTATTAACATTTAAAAGCAAACAAACTGATGCTGAGAGTCCTCCAAAACACAAATGAACTCAATGACACGTTGTTAATTTATTTATTTGCATTGAAATCTCACTTGTAGACACAGTGCTTATTTCAACAGCTATCAGCATGTCAAATTTTTGTCCCTTGGCAATATGTGATAGCCAATAGTAGGCAGAAAATTGCATAGCAATGAAAAGCAATATGATCCCTGATTATTTTGTTCAGCTCACATAGGGATTATTAGTTTAAGCCGTAAAATACATGATCTTTGACCAATTTATATTAGACACAGTGCTCCCATTGCATGAATCTATCTTCTGAGTTGAATTAATATTCACAATGTTACATTACCGGTATGTATTATTACTGTAAACACATTAACTATCCTCTGGTTTTTAATTTCGCTATTTTCACAGATAAGTACAATTCGCTAAATTACCCCCCCCCCTCCCTCCCCGTAAACGTATAGAATAACAATAGAACTCATTGTTTCCTAGCCAAATTTGTAAATTTAAAACCCAGTGGAATTGTTCAAAATTGTGAAATTAAAGGCCAGTGAAATTAAATGGTTTTAGTTATATATTGAATGCATCACAGAAATAGCACAAATTAACTGACCACCAATAGATTGTTTCTGAGTCACCTGAAAGGGAAAACATTGCCTGGGGTAAGGCACGGTGGTCATTTTTAGCCAGTATCAGGCTCCATCACGGTTGCTTAGTAACCGCGGCTTCATTGACTACATCATGCAGTATTCTCGTAATAACCTCATATTACTCCCAGACTCTACATTTGGCCTTGAGAGCAACATGTACTACGCCCAAAAGAAGCTGTTATTTACTGTAATAGCGTTTGTGCTAAAACCGCAGCTGTAATCTCAAACGCGTCCAACCATCATGGAGTCCCATGGTTCAACCAATATGGCTAATCATGGAACTATAAACCCCAGGAAGAACAACGAAACTAAGAGGATTAAAAAAACCTTTGTCTTAGTTTATCTTACAGTGCTTTCGCTTTTGTTTCCACAACATTAGTCATACTCCATGTTAGTTGCCGCCGATACGCCCGTTTCAACCGCTTTGCTGGAAACGGAAAACTTGAAAAAAAATTTTCATATCTGCGCAGTAAAATATTTCGTTCACTACGCATGCGCAAACAAGTCGGTCTGCAGGGTG